GCCCCGCTGGTGGCGGCCCCGCCGGCCCTGCAGCGGCCGGGGAGTAGTAGTAGACTAGGCAGGACGGTGGCCCGGGCTGCAGGAGCGGGTAGTCGTAGTAGAGTAGGCAGGACGGCGGTTTAGTCGCCTGGCCGTTGGAGGACCTGGGGAGATAGACACCAAAGGCCTCTGGCCTGGCCTGGCCTGTGGGGCAGAGGTTTTGCCCACGGGAGCCGAGCCCACACAGACCCGAGGATTCAGAGCCCCCCCCCCTGACACCAGGAACAAGAGAGTTTGCGGGTGGACTCCCCAACACCTCCCTGAACCCTGGAACCTCAACTAGTTGCTCCTGGCCCTTTGCACCTCCTGGGAGATCATCCCGCAGTCCCACTCCAGGTCCTGCCCTCCTGCCCCCGCTACTGACCCTGGGCACAAAAAGGGACTGAAGTGTTGGGGCAGAGAAGAGGCTTAGGATCCCTGGGCACTAGCTGCAAGGAGGACAATAGCTGAGAGCAGGGTGTTGCTCAGCTGCGTTCTGCCGGTTTCATGGGAGGCTTGAGCAGAGAAGCCAAGCCCCCTGCAAAATGTAGCAAATGTCTGGATGTTGCAAAAGTGTGTGTGTGCAGGCACAGGCCCTAGGAATCTAGTGACTCCCCCAACCCATTGCCCTGATGAGGACGCTGATTACAGGAGGAGGGCTGCTTGCCTTAGGCCACACAGCCCTGAGAGATGGAGCTCTGGTAGCCCTCGCCCTCCTCCCCAGGGGATGGATGGGGACAGAAGGGCTCCCAGGGCAGAAGCCTCAGGTGCCCTGGCACCCCTAGGGTAGGGGAGTGAGTGCAGAGCCCAGGGCAGGACCCAGCTCCGCTGCCGGCTGCACCTTCCCCAGGCCAAGGGAACCTCTCAGATCCCCTCAGCCCTTGCTGCCCAGCCCAGACAGTGCCCTGGAGTTTGGCAGGCAGTGAGGTGATCTGTGCCAGAAATTTCCCCTGGGTTTCTGCTGGGATCAAATATATCAGCCTCGGGCTGACTGGGTCCCCACATCTCACACATTTCTGGTCTTGGAGTGTGACGCTATGGATATGAGAACGGGGGATGCCGAGAAAACGGGAGGGCGGTGACTGTGTGACGGGTGTGTGCATGTGGGTGTAGCCTTGTGTTGAGTGACTGCATCCAGATGCCTCAGCAACTCCTCCCTGCCCCAGGATTCTCACCAGGCAGCTGCCAGAGGGCATCCAAGCCTGCTTTCACCACACCCCTCAGGGAATCCGGCCAGGAGGCACCTGCAGGTTGGATCAGGCCCCTAGGCAGCAAAACAAACGAGAGGAACCCAGCCTCACCCAGGGCTCCCTCGTGCGCCCTGCCCTCTCTGTGGAGGCCCAGGACCCCGCAATAACCTCAACATGGGTGAGGCTGTTCCCTCTGCCTGGCAGCGCACCATCCACCATCCTGGGCCCCATCTGCCAGGGTCGCTCCTGGGGTTCTAGGCCATTTGAGGGGGCTCCTTGGTGGACCAGGCTGACCAGAGGAGCCCCAACCACCCTCCGGCCTGAAACCCCCACTTCCATTCACCCCCCCTCCCACCGCGCAAAAGGGCTATAGGTCCCCCTGTCTTGCCTGGGTCCAGTTTACAAACAGGTTGCCCCAGGGCCTGCCCGCCCTCTTCGTGTGCCCCCCTCTCAAGACCCACCTCTTCAGCGGGCATTGGGGCCTCCACATGCCAGGTAAGTAGCAAACCCCTCCTTTCACCAAGGGCCAAGGCCCGTCACTGCCCCGCCCAGGCCCCTGGAGCCCGCCCTGGCGCCCCTCCTTTTGCCTTAGGCCTTTGACATCCTGTCTCCTGCAATAACTAGGAAGCAAGATTCCAAGCAGATGTCCCTCGGCGTCCTCACCCCCTCTGTTCAGATCCTCGTCTTTGTAGCTAGGATGTTAGAGTTGGGAAGGGACTGTAGTTACGTAGCCCAGCCACCTTCAGAGGCGCAGGAGGGGCAGTGACGGCCCGGCTCGGAAGCGGGTCTGGAACCAGGGCTGCCCCCTCGGGGCCCTGCTGTCACTGCCACCGCCGCCGCCGGTGGGCTGGGACCCTTTGCCCCTTAGGAGAGGTGTTGGTCACAGATGTTTACCTCAGTTTATGTCACTGTTGAAGAAACAAAAAATAAATAGCAAAAAGTTAATAACACCGTAGACATGAAGACTTAGAAAACAAAAAACTTACACAAAAAACCCTCCCCTTGCTATTCCGTGAGGTGTGTGTGCGTGTGTGCGCCCGCGCGCCCTCGTCTCTGTCCCACCCTGGGCAGGCCCCTGTCCTTTGGTGCTTCCCAGAGGCCCCTCTGAGCTGGCCTGTAGGGTGTGGGGAGCCCCCTGGGCAGGAGGCAGGGCCACAAGTTAGCTAGAGGATCTCCCATCAGGTCCCTGAGCAGAGCCTCAAGGCCACCGATGCTCCCTGAGCCCCATGCTGTGGCTGATGGGACAGTTGTGGCATCAGTGTGGTGGCCTGGCTCAGGGCCTGGGTGGGATCCCAGCCCCAGAGCCTCATATACTGATAACCACCCCCCATGTGTTTGTAAATACTCTGGCATCCTTTGGCCCTGAGGTTGTTTTTAAATGTGTTACTTACTTCTCTAATCATGACAATTGCTATAAAATAAACAAAAATTTAGAAAAATTACCACTGGGTGGCTGTCTTGTCTCTGATGCGGGGTAGTGCAGTACACAGAATTACTCTGGAAACTGAAAACTTGACAGGTGTTAAGATGGGGTCTGCAGTCAGGACAGACTGTCCTGTGACCTCTCAGACCTGCAGGAAGCCCAGGCCA